TTTTTTTTTTTCCTTTTTTTTTTTTTTTCTTTTTTTTTTTTCCTTTATTTTTTTTTTAATATATTTAACTTTCTTAAAAAACGGGCTCCTCATGCAGAAAGGTTCGAGCACTGCATGTTGCAGTGCCTCCTGCCAGCAGCAGGCTTTTTAAGGCTACTTGCCTGTCAGTGTCTAGTACTAATTTTCATGCCAGTTAATCAGATCTCATCAACATAAATAATTCGGGGGACTCCCATGCATCACTCAGCATGACTCTTCCATGAGTTCTTCTAACCTTCTGTTTTTTTTGTTTTGTTTTGTTTTGTTTTTCCTTTGGCTTTGCTTCTTTAGTATAAGGCTAGCATCTTCAGGAGAGAACTCAACTCTCTGAACATGCATATCCCAGATACTGCTTGGTGCCTTTTGTACAGCAAAGGAAATTGCATAAGCAATGCAACACTAAGCTAAAACCAAGAAGGTGCTTCCTTTACAGGCCTTCACACTGTGCGGTTCAAGCTTCTAGGGGGGTGGAAAATAAGTCCTCTGGGCATGAAACCGTTCATGTTGTTCAGGGCTATTCTAAGCCAGTGTCCTTGTGTGTCCTAAAGGTATTTCTGTGCTTTTCCACCTCCAAATACGAGCATGAAACTCCATAATTGATGCCGTTTTGAGGCATCAGCATCTGATAGTGGTTTTTAAGCCTGTAACTAGTGCTGTGTTAAATTTCATTCAATACTTGTTTTTTGTTTTGGAGCAAGCACGTGGATTTCACTTTGGATATCTGTATAAGCAGGCTGTCATAGAGCTGTTACCTGCCTAGTGATCGCTGGGCTTCTTACTTTGATTAGTAGCTATGTCAGGATATACAGACATTGAAGGTGACTGAATGTTACTGACAGCTAAGGATGGCTGAGAGGTTCTTGCCTACTTGGCAGACACTTTTCTTGTCACATAAACCATATTGGTCACTCTTTAAGCTGAGCTTGTGGTCTCGTGCAGGGAGGAGAGAAGGAGGCACTTGAGCGTTGTGGGAGTGGTATGAGCAGTGTGTGGCCCTCCTTGCAGGGGGAGGATTCTGGGACTCGCGTCACTCTCGCAAATAGCTAATGAGCTGGTAGATGGCAGTGAAGCTGAGCAATCCAAATAATCTGGAAAAACTGATTGTCCACGCTCTTTGCAAAATAGAGAAACTTGGCTGCTGGTTTGGCTTGCTAGAGGTTATTTTTCCTTCTTGAGTGCCAAAGACCTTGTCTTACAGATCCTGCAGCCTTCTGACTATCCTGTGACACTTTGACACTAGCTATGCTTCAAACCTAACTCCCATCTCCTATTGCAGCGCTTGTGTTGTGAGAAAGTACAGATCAAGCATCAGATCAGATCCAACAGATCAGCTGCTGGATGAAAACTTGTTTTTATTACTACTCATTTATTTATTAATAAAAGTTTTCAGGGTTTGGGCACCTGGTCTGCTTAGTCCAAGTGCCTCCTGTGATGAATTTGGGCCCTTTGGCTGAAGAGGGCATAACTTAGGCAGTAAATCACTTGCCATTTACATTAACTCTTTATTACTAAAATATGTCTTTTAATGATGACTGTCTCTTAAATGGCATTTCCAATACTCAAATAATTTAACAGGAGATTGTAATCCCATTCTCCTCCGTACATCAACTATTACTCCATGGGAAATATTCCAGTTCCTTGAGCTCTTTCTCCTCAAGGAGTAATATGTACTGTAGGTATAAAATTAGAGCACCTGCTCACCTAGAAAATCTGGAATCTCCGGAGTGTTGAAACACAGTGTTAGTGCTGTTACTTAACACCCAGCTGGGGCTACTGCATACAGTGACATCTCTCCTCCATCTTGCTTTAGACCCCTCTGGTATCTTGAGCTCTGCAAGTGTGTGGCTCTGCAGCACAGTATGTGTGTTTTTGGTCTGCTTTATTGCAGTACTCGGAGGCTGGCGTCAAAGAGCTTCCTGTATCAGAGTAATGTTAAGTATTTATGGTGAAATAATCAATTTCTGAAGTAAGATTTGGCTGTTGAAGTCTATAAGCCTTAAGAGCTATTGAGTGAAGTACTATCTTTAGTTGCTATTAGAGCATGATGGGTTCTCTTCCATCTGAAAATAGGATTTTTTTTTTTTTTTTGTAAGATCAGCCTAATGAAAGCATGGGATGCAGCTCTGCTTCCTCTTCATAATGTGCAGTATTATTTTATAACTAAAGCAAACTTCAAAATAAATGCATAAGCTAAGAGTATCTTGCTCAACTTTAATGAAGCTGAGACTATAACTGGTCTAAGCAAGTAGTGTATGCGTGTGTGGTTTTTTGTTTTGTTTTCCCCCCCCCCTTTTTTTTTTTTCCTTTTCTTTGGCTGTCTTGATTTTTTATTTATGTCAGAAAGCAATGTGGTTTTTTGTTGTTGTTGCTTGTTTCTTTTCTTTTTTGTTTCATTAAAGTGGTCTTTTTACTTGAATTATTAAATGTGATAACTCCTGCTATTATGATTAAAGAAAAGGAGATCCTAGAAAGCAGCTATCTTTTCTTTTTTTAAAAAAAAACCCACATTTTTATTAGAAAATCAAACTTTAACACACAAGTTTTGAGGTGGCAAGACTTCCTATGTTCACTTCTATTGCAGCACAGGAATATAGAGAAACCTGAATTTCATGATGAAGGATAAGGAACTGTTGGTAGTACAAATAGCTACTAAGAAAATCAGATGCCAAAGCTGTGAAACTCCTTCCTTTATTTTCAAAATGCCTTTGTTTTAGTAGGAACATCTAGTAAGTCTGGGAAAGAAGGTACTCTTGTCACAGGACCTACACTCTGCAAATGTGCCATACTTGCTAAAAATGATAGAAACGTCCTGCATATAAAACAGGACTTGAGGCAGGAATGACTGCAGCACCAGATGTACTCTCACATGTCAGTGCCCGGAGTGATTCACAAGGGTGCTTGAACTAGGGGAATAAACCAAAAGGTCTAATTTTAGTAGCAATTTTGCTGAATGTTCTTTTTGCCTTGAGGGCAAAACTGTTGAAGACACCTTCTAATTGTAGCCTCTGTGCACTCTTTATATAGGCTTTCTTTTTAACCGCTTCTTCAGAAGCATAAGCTGAAAGAATGAAAAAGAACCACTTATTAAAATACATATATATGTATTAGTCTGTCTATAGTCTAGTCTTTATACTATTATATATATATAGTTCAGACTAATGCCAGATGTCTAACTGTCTTCATTTCCTTCTAGGTGGTCTTTAAATCACTTGCAGATACTTGCTGTTAACTTTGAACTGTAAGAACTAAATCCGAGCGAGTTGGCAACAATCTATAGGCTTCTAAAGGAAGAGGGTTTTTATTTATTTTTATTTATGAGCTGCAAGTCACCCTTAGTATATGAGATGTGTCACATCCAAAAAGTTCACATCTAGTGCCTTTTCTCTTCTAAAGTATCCTAAATTATTCTATTGATGATGAATATCTTCGTTTATCTCTCTTCACCAACACTGAGAAGTAGCCCATGATAGCGGTTATCAATTTTTTAAGGTAACTAAATGAGGATCTCATTTTTGCAGGTTTTATGGTGAGCTGTGCTGGAAGCAGGTATTGCTGGGAAGAGTTCTGGATGCTTGGTTGGTTGAAGGCAGCAGTAACAGCATAGCTGAGAAGAATGCAGGCTTGAACATGAAATAGTTAAACATGAGTTGAATATAGTGTGTATTGGTATATGAGAGCTGACTTCAAGAATAGTCATGGAGTATAGGTCCCTAGAAGACTCTCAAGTGGTCTTATTTTTTGATGTAATCTAGCATTTGGACTTTCATCCATTCCCTGTTCCAGTAAAAACAGAATCATTTTGACCACAAATTCCCTATGACTGAATTATTCCTCTTTCAGCATTTTAACATCTTATAATGTGCGCTTATCTTACAGAGCTGAGATTGTTTTTATATATCTGTACGGTACATCTGTACTTGGTTCTGAATGGAGTCAAGGGAGAACCAGCGTTCTTGCAGGGACTGCCCAGCATCCCTCTTGAAAGACAAATCAGACTTGATCATCCTAATTAAAGCAAACTTAAGATTGGAAGGGGCAACTCAAGGAACATGAGACTACAAGCTTAGTTTTGTAGTTCATAAGTCTTTAAATCAGCTTTTGGACTGAAGCTTCCTGCCTTCTTGGCTTCTTCCTCAACCGTAATTTGAGAGAACCTGTAAGTATTTAGGCTAAGGATGTAAGGGCTAAGAAGGCTAAGAATTTTTTTAACGAGCTTTACTCCATTTTTGAAATTCAATTTTATTATTATTTTTTTTTTAACCAAGGATTTAATTCTTTTGCTGGCTTTGGGCTTTTCAGCTTGGTGTGCTTATGAGATGGCATGTAGAGATTTTTTTTTTCATTGTGATTCCAACTTAGAACTACTTGCTTACATTCCTCAGCTTCTTTGCCTGGCACCCTGATTTCTGCACTTCATCAAAACCAAATTCAATGAAAGTGAAGTAAGAAAATCATGGCTTTTTTGTTGTTGTTAAAACTCTGTCATTCAAGGAACTTCATATTTCATAGGATCATAGAATGCTTAAGGTTGGAAAGGACCTCTAGAGATCATCCAGTCCAACCCCCCTGCACACGCAGGGTCACCTAGAGCACGTGGCACAGGACTGCGTCCAAGCGGGTTTTGAAGATCTCCAGAGAAGGAGACTCCACAACCTCTCTGGGCAGCCTGTTCCAGTGCTCTGTCACCCTCACTGTTAAGAAATGTTTCCTTAAGTTCCTGTGGAACTTTTGATGCTTCAGTTTGTGGCCATTACCTCTAGTTCTGTCAGTGACCACCACTGAAAAGAGGCTGGCCCCATCCTCTTCACTGCCTCCCTTGAGGTACTTATATACACTGATCAGGTCCCCCCTCAGCCTTCTCTTCTCCAGGCTGAACAGGCCCAGCTCCCTCAGCCTCTCCTCATAGGGCAGATGTTCCAGGCCCCTGATCATCCTTGTAACCCTGCGCTGGACTCTCTCCAGCAGCTCCACGACTGTCCGCTACTGTGGGGCCCAGAACTGGACACAATACTCCAGATGCGGCCTCACCAGGGCTGAGTAGAGGGGCAGGATCACCTCCCTCGACCTGCTTCTTATTTGTTTCTTGCTCCAGTGTTTTTAGTTTAGAATACAATAGACTTTAATACTTCACATATGAAGTGCCTAGAATGATGTCATGCAAGGTGCATACTGTCCATACCACTTGGTATATATTGTCCATTTTAGAACAGATAGACTTACTTTCCTATGAAGAAATTGGGTAGCTGTTCCCTGAATACTTCAGATTGCTCTGCAGTTTGCTTTTATTTTCCTCTAGTTCAGCACTTGGTCTTCTCTGACTTTTCTCCGGTTGCCCAGAGGGGTTATAAAATTCCAATCCCTGAGGATGGTCAAAACATGAGAAACGTGATTTATTTTTCAAGTTGTGTTTAGTGTATGTGTTTGTGGTGTGTGGAGGTTTTTTCCTTTTTTTCTTTTCTTTGAGCGTGGGGAAGGCTAGAGCTGTTAGGAGCCCTTTTAGATCGCTTTCAGAGGTCCCCTCTGACTTAAATTATTCAATGATTCTACTTCAGTGAACTGATTTAGAGAGAAATACAAAAACGTTTTAAAAATGCAAGAGCTGTGTAAGGAGAAGGAGCCTAAAAATATTTCCTATCCTGCAGAAAGAGTAACATGTCTTAAAACTGTTACTTCCCCCATATCTTAGGTCAAGCCTTAAGATGAGAAAAATCGCTGGGTAGTTCAGACCACTCTTTTTAAGCATTTTATGTGTGGTAACAAGCTAGTTTTGCAAAGCAACTGTATAAGCTGCACAAGTATAACTGGTCAGATTCTTGCTAGTATCTCAACTGGCATATTTTTAATAAAGGATACTTCTGAAAACTGCTTTATTTTACAGTTATGCTGTACTGTGTACAGTGTTTCTGAGGGAAGATGGTTATGAAGTCTGAACAGGATGTCACTGTTGGTCTGCTGTGTTAGGTGATGTGGACAGGCCTAGCCAACAACTCTGGGGAATGGTAGTGTTGAGACATGTGCTTCAGTAAATTTGTCTGTGACTTGAAACTTTCTCTAAAGTGAAGCAGATGTTTTCATCCCTTCAAATGTCTTTTAGAGGGGAGGGGGAAAAAATAAAGACAGACTTCTATCTGGAATGTGATTCTTAATTTCTGTTGTATGAGAAGTGTGGGTTTGTTTAATTTAGAACAAAAATCTCTAACTTGATTTTTGGATTATTGGACTTCTGAGGTGACTTTTTTCAAATTTACATGAATTACGTGGTGTATTTCGCTGCATCATTAAATGCTCATTTTAAAGGAAATAGTTTATATGTGAATTCAGTGCCATGTCTTTCTAGTGTCCTAAACAAGGTTTAGAATTAAGACAGCTGTGGACGTTAGAATAACTGATTAGTTTGATTGGTTCTATTATGCTCTGTCCCAGTCACTGACTGTGGGGTAGGAACCAAGTGAGAATGATTTATTTATTTATTTTTAGAGCCCAAATGAGGTTTAAAATTGATTGCTTTGTCTGAAGCTGCTAAAGAACCTAAATATAAAACAATAAATCAAAAGTAAGTGTGGCTAATTTTTTTTTTCTCTCCTATATGTTCTGTTACAGGCACATAACGCCAGAGAAATTCTATGTGGAAGCTTGTGATGACGGAGCTGATGATGTACTTGCTATTGACAGAGTCTCCACTGAAGTCACTCTCACAGGTACTCTCCTCACCAGTGCTCCTCAAGATAGGCCTCTTGAGTTCCTTCATCTACTATTTTACTCCAGGCAGTCCCAGAGGTTCTTCAAAGACAAAATTGGTGTTAAGATAGAGAAGTTGTTTTCCTGAATTGCTCTTTGTTTTTAAAATAGTGCTTTGCCTTTAATGTGGCAAAGGCTTATTTGTAAAGCTTTTCATTGTAGAATTGATCTTGTGGGTAGGAAGGGGGATTATGCTTGCCTGTGGCTTGACCAGCCCACTGTGTGATAGTTTTGTGACAGTCATGGAAGAAACATTCTGACTTTTCCTCTTTCTTTTCAGTTAAGAAAGATATTCCCCCTTCAGCTGTTACAAGGCCTATATATGGTATTTTGGGTACAATCCGATTGGTAGCAGGTAAGGAAAGCAAAACTGCTCTTAAACTATTTTAGCAGAATGTATTGCTAGAGAATTTAAAACCAAAAATAGTCTTTGCAGGGTACCTGAGGTTGTGCTTTGTTCAGTTTGATCATTTTATAGACTTTCTTTGTGGCTGCTACAGGATGAAGGTATCAAAACATAGTTAATCATGGATGTTCATGTCTATCATAAGCATGTTCAAAGGTAGAGTAAATCCTCGGCTTGCTACATTTTAAAGAATGTATTTCAAATGTGCACAAAAACTTTCATCTGCCTGCTCTTTAGCTGTGTTCATCTCAGCTGCAGAATTTGATATAACATGAAGTGTTGGGTTTTTTGTTTGACCTCAAATCAATAATGTTGGTACACAAGTAGCTGGGAGAAGCAGGGTGATAGACCACTGCACGCAGCCATTTAAGTAATGGCTGTGTTAGAATGATTCTCCCAGTATGGAGTAAATTCAACACTTGGAGAGGAGGCGGCGGAAAAAAAGGACAAACCAAATCCCAACTTCTAGGGAGTTACGAGGTGAGGCAAGAACAAGCTGTGCACTCTTTAAAATATTCCATAGTGATGTCTGAATTGGATGCGAGTAGGCACTGCCACAGTTAAACCTGAAAACCTGATGCATACTGTCATGGGTTTTTTAGACTTTGAATGTTGGTATATGTTTTTTAAAAAAAAATGTGGCTAGACATACAGACTTAAGAATTTGAGACAAAAGTTGTCTGGAAGCTGATGCAATAGGAATGTACACATTAAATAAAAGTTTCCATACACAGGAAGGATTTAAGTTCATGAAATTAATGAAACCAAAGCAAAATACCACAGTGTTAAATGCACTGACTTCTGACAGGATCTTAAATTGCCAAACCTTATATGTTCATATCCTAATTGGGAATTCTAGTTACTGCAGAGCAAAGGCTTTTAATGGATATCTTTGTCTGAAGCAGTCGACTAGCCTTGGTTATTTTAAAAGCCCCCTTCCTTGAAGTGCATTTTTCACAGTTTACAGGTTTGGTAATGAATTTTATTCATGTAACTGGATGTGGTACCAAAGTATGCAACTTCTTCAGTGTCCTGTTTCTTCCTTCCCTCTGGCCCCAATTCCCCACTCCAACTGTCTTACGCTATTTTTAATGTATAGTTGTCAACTAAATATAAATAGTGTTTAGGTTAATGTTCAGCTCTGCAATGTTAGGCAACTCACTGCCATCTGTTAATAAAATGGATTCTGTATCTAATAAAGTATCTTTAAAAAAAGTTGAACGCTGTTTTCCTATAATAGCATTAGAGGGAAAAATGCTGAAGTAGTATCTTCAGTGTTTGGAATCTCTAATCAAGTGCTATCTACCCAGATAGGAAACGACAATATTGAAAAGTCACGCTGATTCAATATACCTATTTATGCAACATCTTTATGATATAGTTGTGGACATAATGTGCTGCCTTTTAATAAGGTGTCTGATTTCTTTACATTGGTAAGCACAAACGATACTTAAGAATGCTCCATCATCTTCTCATCTCACATTTTAAGTGCTTGAAGACTCTACCCAAGTAAATGTTACAAAACCAGGACTTGAAATTAAAAAAGACAGTGACACTTTGTACTCTTTTCCCTCCCCACCCCTTTTCCCACCTTCCCCTGCCTGCAATGGAGGGCGAAATTTAAAGAAACTTTTGTTTCGTATTGCTTTGAGTGTCCTGGGATGGTTTTAGATGCTTTTCTTAATGTGCACATATTTATATACTTTTAATATTTTTCAACTTTGTTTTACAGGCACATATCTCATTGTAATAACAAAAAAGAAAAAAGTAGGTGAGATATTCAGTCATGTGATCTGGAAAGCAACGGACTTTGACATCCTCTCCTACAAAAAGACCATGCTGCACTTAACTGATATTCAGGTAAGAGTGGATTGATTGACAGGAGGAGATTTCACTTTTTCCCCTGCTCTTTGCGTGTCCTCCCCTCACCGCCTTTCTGGTTTCTTGCATTAGTCTTCATCACTCAGACCTAATTTGATGATGAAACTTTAAGGATGTGTGAACTATACTTTCATCTCTAATTGACATAATATTCAGGTATAAATGTGTGGAAAGTTGCATAATTGAGGACAACAGACAACATCATGCAATTTAAAATATTGGCCACTTTGAGTTTGAAGTGCATGTTGCGTTCTTCCTCCTTTTAAGATCATATGGTGAGGGAATAAGCAGACAGTCTTGCTGTATCTCTTGTCCTGAAATCTGATGTTGTTTTTCCTCCTGAGGCTTTGCTTGCCCTGTATATTTAGAGGTGTCCTAGTGTTGCTTTCTGCACGGTATGTTGCAAAGTCATGTTCCTGAGCCAGTCCACAAAATCACTGCCCCTGTTCCTATTGGGTTTTTTGTTGTTTATTTGTTTTTTCTCCCTCATGATTTTACTGTTTATAGCAGGACAGATGTTTTTTAGGGGCTGTTTTAAGTATCTATTACATACTTGCCAAGCTGGGACAAATTGGGTTGAGTGGGAGGAAAAGGATCAAGTTTTATATAAAATCAAGTGTGTTATAGGTTGATACAGAGCAGTCAAGGGTGCCAGAGCAGTGAAGCTAAAGGCATTTTTTTTTTCTCGGGCTGAATGGCTTTCAAGCAAATGATGGCTTCCTTTTTGCTGGGCAGTCCCTAATAGCAGTTTAATCTCACTAGCTCTAGTAGCTCAGTCTGAGGTACCTGTCAGAGGAGCACTGTTGTCTCCTCTCTACTGTACGATAAAAAAGCTAAGCAAGCCTGGTAGCAACAAGTTAAGTGCACTGTTAGTCTCTTGCTTTCCTCCTTATACTCTGAATGCTCTATGTGTTCCAGCAGCAGCACCAGCAAAGTTCAGATAATCAATTTAAAAAAAAAAAAAAAAAGTTTTAAATTAATAAATGAGCATTAATAAATGAGCTGTTTCTTCCCACCCACCCCTCTCTTGTTCTTCCCAACAGTTGCAGGACAATAAGGTGTTTCTATCAATGATTAGTCATGTCTTGAGTGTGGATGGATTTTACTTCTCGACCACCTATGACCTAACTCACACTCTGCAACGGTTAGCAAACACCAGCCCTGAGTTCCAGGAAATGAGCCTCCTAGAGAGGGTAAGGATTTCATTTTGCTCTCTATCCTTGTCTAACTCGTTGTCATCCAATTCCTTGTGATACAAGCTTAGTTTATGCAGCTGATGTTTAAATGGTGTCAAAACAAGTGATCACCAACTGAAGAAAGCTTCATACAAGGCTTAGAATGATATTGGTGAAAGTTGCGTTCCTAGTACCCTCAGCTCAAAACTTCTACTTTACTTATTAGGAATTTGTAGCCGTCTAAGCTAGAAAAGGTTTTGCTGGTTTAATGATTAAGTTAAATTAGTCAAACGGATTTACATTTGTTGCTTAGATGCAAATCATTATAATTAGTAGCACTGTATTCCTGATCTGTGTAATTACACTGTCTCTGTGATCTTGTCAATCCACCTGTAGTGGGGTGGTTCTCTGAAAAAAAGAAGGTGACCACAAGAGGAAAGGAAGCAACCCAGCAAGTGTGCAAAGTAGACTGAGTCAAGCTGCTGTTTGAGCTTGCTTCCTTATTTGCTTAGAGTGAGGTTGGAACTAGCTAGTCTGTTCTCCAGCACAGACACTTCCTCAGTACTGCACTTTTCCTGCCTAGTGGGTTGGAGATTATGACTGAACATACTAGCCTGCCCTTCCTCAGTCCTGCAGCTTAGTAGCAGTGACAAGTTCCAGAAACCTGTTTAGAAGGATTGCAAACTCTAGATCAGGCAACTCAGAACACTTGTCTGAAAAGGTTGCTTTGATTGAAGCTGAAGAGGAAGGAAAAAAAAAAAATCCTGCCTCTCAAATGTTTCTAGTTCTAACAAAAACGAGAGCGGGGAGTTTCCTCTCTATTCTCATCTACCCCAAATTTAGGAATGTCATGTGCTTTCTTGAGGTGGAATAAATCTCTTGAGTTTTATTCTCTTTCAAAATATTTTGTTTTTCTTTAGACCTGTGGGTCCATGGGTTTGGGCCCTCAAATGTTGCATTCTAACCTGTGCTTTTTCCTTATTTTTGACATATGAATTTATTATACTCTCGTCTTAAACAGAACCACATAGTCAAACTCAAATTCACCACTCCTGTGCTTTAGAGTGCTAGTATCCTTGTTCTGGTAAATAACTGAACCTGTGACATGAATAAGGCTGGAACTGCATAGACACCGAAGTATTGAAACCCTGAAAGTGAAGAGTGTACTCTCATTCTTTGCCAAAGAGATGACTAAAGTTGTCAGGACTTTATCTCTTAGTTAATGAGACTACCTAAACTGAGGGAGTAGTGCAGCTTTTCTTCTAAGCTTTTTTAAAATTACTTTTTCCTTAGTCTATACTGGGGAACTGTTTTGCATTATCAGCACCTCTTGTAGTGCTATTGCCAGAGAGAGCAGTTCCTGACACTGAAGTTTCCTTTAAACTGGCTCTTCAGGGCAGCTGTTTGAAAGACCAACCATAACAAAAAGGAGGCTTGTTTTTAGGTTAGTAGCTGTGTTTTATAGTGGCAGAACAAAAGGTTGATAGTAATTCTGGGGAATCTCCACTGATGCAAGAGAAGTTTGGTTTAGGGTTTGTTCTTGATGGGAGTGGTAGAAGGAAACAGTGCTGCCACAGGTCTACAAAGTGTCACGTGAGGTCCTTCAACTAGTTCAGAGCCAACCTGCAATATGATTTGCCTGTAATGAAGCCAGTGGACAGACCCAGACTACTTGGTCCAAAAGCTGTTTTAGGGCAATCTATTATCCAGGATAACAAGCATTCCTCAGGACATGAGGCAGAAGAGATCATGTTATGTTAGCATAGACTCATCCACATGACAAGTAGTTCTCTTCCTGTTTGATTGCCCTTTTGGGAGGGAGGTTGTTAAAACAAAACAAAAAATCAAAAAAGGTGTGTGACTTCTAGGAGATGTTTGTTTCCTGTTTAAACATAGGATTGCTCCAACACTGAGTTTGAATTAACCTGCTTGGAGTGAATGGATCATCTTCCTGTCTCATGTCATGAGATTTATGCCACCTCTCTGTAGTTCTCATTGCAGTCTACAGAGACTGTCACTTTGTGACTAACCTGGTAGCTCTTTGGAATGTGCTCAGAGTCTTGTTTGAGACCTTAAGGGGAATTTGTAATAGGAAATAGAGAGTTAAGAAGGACGGTTTATGTGATTGTTTAAGTGGGTGTGTGGTTTTTTTTTGTTGTTGGTTGTTTGTTTGTTTTTCTTCAACTATGAGTAGTATTTTAACTTCTGGTTCTTAATTGATGATTATTGCTTTTGAACCTGGTTCTGTCTTTACCTTCTATCTGTTTTAGGAATGTTACATTGCGGTTGTTCTTAACATGGCTTGACAAAATGATCAAAAATTAACTTAAGGCAGATATTTGGATGTTCTGCTGCTGTTGCAGCTGAATTGTAAATGGCTTAGCATGTCAGAGGTCAAGCAGCTCCTTAAAGATTAGAGGGAAGTAGCCTCAACTAAAATATCAAAAAAGTAAAAGTAAAAAGGATATTTGAAATGTACTGATACAGGAGTGTTCCACTTCAGAGTATGCCTGTTCCCCTAGACTTGCCTTAGTACAAGGGTGCTATAAATGTTTATGTTAAATTGAACAGAGCTTAAAGCCTCTAAGAGCTTTTTTCTTTTTGCAGGCAGATCCACGGTTTGTTTGGAATGGGCATCTTCTTAGAGAATTTGCTGCTCAACCTGAGGTAATCTCCCTGCAGTGATTATACTGATACACCGTGGATATACTTTATACTACAAACATACAACACTGTCCTATAATTCTCTATTTCATGCCAAATTTTGTTACCTGAAATAATTAGGTCAGATCATGAAAACAGTGTGTGTGTAAATTAAAACTGTTCATCATGACAGCCTGTTACTTTCTAATATACCCGTGTCCTCAGCAGTGCATGGCAAAGCTGTCCCTTTGCAAGTGTCTGCATATGAAGGTGCTCTGCTGATATTGTTTCTCCAAGTGAATGGTGCATGGTTTCTATTCCTGTCTCAGTGACCTGAGCAGACATACTGCATTAGATACCACTGCTCCAAAATGCTGGGCTGTACTTTTTTTTTTTTTTAAGGCAAAATGTAGAAGCTGAAAATGGAGATAACTCATATATGAGGGGAAACCTGACCTAATATTAACTAAAGGTAGCCTGCTGTAGCAACAGCTGTAGATAACCAGATTTGGAATTTTTTAACTTCTGATATTGAACAACTTTAAACTGTACTGAAAGACCACATTGTTCAGATGTGGCAGATTGGTAGAACAAGCATTTTGAGGATTATTCACAAAGAATTCTTCCTACTGAAGGTTTATGTTGCTAACTGTTATTCAGCTTATTGTGCTGCTGAGATGATGCAGCAGAGCCATACCAAAAGGCTTTCAGTGTGTACTGGTTTATCTAGTATGTTTCAAGAAAAATAAATAAAATTGGGTAGAACAAAGCAGCCTCTTGTTTTGCCAAGGTCACTTGAACTGAATTTCACTGTCTCCATTTCTTCCCATAGGGTTGGGTTATATGTGCTACTCTGGCTTTGCTGGGAACCCTTTTTCCTCAGAGAGCATGACTGCATCTTAAAGAAGGATAACAAATATATAAAGCTACCAACTTGCAGACAAAGCATAATTAGGTTATATATCTTTTTGGCTACAAGTGTCTAATATTTTAACTGTTCTGTGTTCTTGTTTCAGATCCATAGGTTTGCTACACCAGTGATGCATGGATGTATCCTTTTATGTTGTAAGACTCAGTGCTGAATTTGATAGCCTAAGGCAAAAAGGTTGCTGGTGAGAGTAAACTATATTGGTGCCTATAACAGAGTAATGTCAGAGTTAGGCTGTAGTTTGTTCACATAAGAAAAACATGCAAGTGAGCTCTGAGTATTTCTTGTTAACTCATTTGAATTTTTTTTCCTACTCTTAAGACTTAATTTGTTTGATCTCACAGACATGATTTGCATGCTTGCCTTTCAAAGAGTTAAGATACAGCATTTTCTAATTTATAAATAGCATAAATAGCCTGTACTAACTGACCACTAAGTAATTCAACCAATTATTATCAAAATCCTTAGATTTAAAATAAAGGCAAATAGTTAAGACTTAAGAGTGCCTGTCAGTGATCCTCTTGATGCATAGGAAGATGAGTTCTGAAGGCACCTTGAACACTTCTGCTAGGAAGTTGCTTTTGCCACACCAACACTTTGCCTTGGCTAACAGCCTTTTTAGCAAAGCATTCCTGAGTTGATACTTGAGAAGGGGTATATACTGGTCTGAGGCTCCCTGGATGCATTACTCTTCTTGCAGTGATTGCACAAAGTCAGTCCCAAGAACTCTTGAGTTTGGAGCAACTCGTGCAGTGCTGCTCTTGGCTGCAGCTTGGGAATGGCCACAGAATGGTGTGCAGGCTCAACCAGTTCTTCTCGTGGGGCTGTTAGTGCTGGAAAACCTCTAGCCCTTCCTGTGATTTAGTATAATGGAAACTGTAGTGGGAATAGGTGGAGAGACAAGGAAAGCTGGGAAGAGGGAACTGTCAAAACAACCTCATTCTTATCCTGTAAGTCATGCAGGGGAGAGGCTGGGTGGATTGCAATCAGCAACTGGTTGGCTGTGATTAACACTTTCCTCTGTCCTAATTTCCCTTCATAAATAATTAGTGTGAGTAATGTATGCATTGCTATAATTCAAATACTAACAAAGTACCTCAGATAAACTATTCTCAAGATCTGTAGGAGACTGGTTTTCTAGTGATGAATCTGCTAGAGCCGAAGAGCCCTAACCTGTAGTGCCACTGGTAGTTATTTCAGTATAAAACTAAATACATTTTGTTCAACTGTCTGGGCTAGAGTCTGGATCTTGCAGTGCTGAGGAAATAGTGGACTTTTTGGGATGACCAAGCCTTTCACTAATGAAAGACTAAACTTAGGCTTAACACTTCCCTTGCTTCAGACTTTTTTTCCAACTATTCCCTTGCAGTCTTGAAGAGTCAAATGCTTAAGAGGGGGAAGAAATTAATATTTCCAACTTTGGGGGCTTTTTTGGTAGTTTTCCTTTTTTGCATTATTTTTCCTAGTGAGTTTGAGATTCTAGTGAATTATTCCAAAAGGAAGATCTCCTTTCCTTTCTTCCTTGGCATAGTAGTAAACTAAAGAGTGTTGCCTTGCTACGAAATATCTTGTTCCTAAGTATTCTGCAGGAAACTGCTGTGAGAACTGTGGGTTGGAGAAAATACAAAATGTGCCACTCTAAAGAAAATACATTTTGTTTGCTTCGTCCAGCCATAGGACAGTAAGTCTCTTGGCCTGTTGCAGAACAGAGTGCAGGATGCCAGTACTGCAGCTTGCAGAATTACTCATGTCAGTCTTGTGCTTGCTTGAAATTTGTAGATTTAGGCTGTTGGGGACAAAGGATGGAAGCTCCTTGAAATTATTCTTAATAAATGCTTTTCCGTTTAAGGTATTTTTAAGCTGGAAAGAGCAAAACTTAAAAAGTGAAAATGGTTGTTAATGATTTCTGCTTGCTCATTGATTGAACTTCTTCCCTAAGAACGGGCCACCGTTCTGGATATCTAGTGTGAGCAGAAAAGCCTACTTAGCCTCCTGTGGTAACTTCCAAATCTGTGGAGGCTGCATACACAGACTGAACTCGATCTGCAGAAATTCGGGGTTCCTTTTAGGAGTGTATGAGAGGTTTGTGTTTTGAGATAAGCAAATAATGAGCCTTGAGGAAGCAAGGAAACTATGCAGAAAAGGTCCAGAAGCAGCCTCATGCATGTCCTTGCCCTTAGGGGTAAAGGTTTGAAACCCAGTCTCTGTTAGTACTAGTGCTGGAATCTGTAAATGTGGTGTATGTTGTGCTTGAGAGCAAAGCTTTAACAGTATAAGATATTCCTTCTTCTGAAACGCTAAAGGAGAGGGGAAAAGTGTGGTGGTTTTTTTTGTTTTATTTTTATTTTTAAAAAAAGCAGTGGGGGCAAGAATTCATTAAGGTAGTTTAATTAGAAGTTATGAATGAGATTGGATATAGTGCAGAATAGAGTTTCTAAAGTTGATCCTTTTAAAGAAATGCATAGGCCTCTGAAACCAGAATAATATTCTCTAGGGTCCTGTTCTGTCAAAAATTGAAGTAATTTTACTGTTGTGGTCAGTGGCAGACCTTGTACCTTGTCTTTTGTGTTATTATTTCTAAGCTGAAGTTGCTCTCTTAATTGTAAGCAAGTTTACCTTAACTATGGTAAATGTTTTAGTTTTAATTGAATGTGATAATTTGGCTCTCTGACCTTTTCTACCTCTTTGTTTATATTTTTATATAAACATATTAAAACTAAGTTTGTTCATTTGTTTTTCTTAACATACTATTCGTCAGTTATCACTATGCACTCTTGTTCTATTAATGGAAAGTGCTTTGACTGGCTGCTTGTTTCTAGAAGGAGCTGTTTCAGGGCTGGTGTACGTTACTATGTAAGAGGTAAGAGAGCCAATTGATTTTAATTTAAAAATAATGCAAATTCCATCCATATATGTGGCCGCTCTTTAAGAGAGGTTGCTGGTATAATGATTTCAACAGAAAATACTTGCAACAGTAGTTTGTGTCAAGAGGTCCTCGTTTTGAAGAAAATACTAGGAACCATTACTACTGAAATGTGGTTACTTTGATGTCAAAATACTCGTTTTATTTTGCGTTGAAGCCACTCAGTTTCTAGGACTGTTATTTTCAATGTTCTTGAATTTATGGCCTTTTGATGTGCATACCTGCTTCAGCAAAATAAATTTGGTGTGGCTCATGATAAACTTTGTGTTAATTTATCATCTTCTGATAGCTACATGGTATTTTCTTGCTTTTTTGAGTACTTGCTAGGGAGGGGGAGGAAACCTTTTACTGATCTCCTGTTTTTCTCCAGCCAGTCTGTGAGCTGGGTAATGAGGGCTTTCTGCCCTCACCCTTGCCCCTTTCCTTCTTTTACCTACCCAGGTATTGATTCAGAAGGACATGCAGCTAACTTTGTGGAAACAGAACAAATTGTGCATTATAAGGGGAGCAAAGCATCGTTTGTTCAGGTAAGATTGGTGTAATAGACTGCAAGATGGCATAAGCTTTTTGAATGGTTCATTGGCCACCTTTCTTCTTGCAGTGTGCTGAGTTGGTCCTGTTGAGGTATATTCAAGAAGGGAGGTTACCAACTAAATGAGGCAGTTTAAAGACAAATCTTACAAACAGCAATTGCCCATTAAAAATAAAACCACTTTCCATTCTCTTGCAGACCCGTGGATCAATTCCTTTTTTCTGGTCTCAAAGACCAAACCTCAAGTATAAACCAAAGCCACAGATCAGCAAGTCTGTAAATCACGTATGTGACTGTTCATTGCATTTTGGGGATTTAATTGGGGTTTATGTGGATGTGAAAGGGTGCCAATGTGTAATCAGGAGAATAAAAGTTAGCAATACTAAATAGTTTTGTTACTATTGCTTAAGAAGAAACTTTTGTATCCCTTGATTTTTTTTTTTTTTGTGTGTTTTTTTTTTTGAGCTCAGATTCTGGGAAGAATGCAAGTGTGAATGAGTTTTCTGGTTCTTGTTTAATAGTCTTTGTAGCTCCCCAGTGTTCAGCATATGCAGATTGTTTATGCAGAACTGAATGGACTTGGGGATAGAAAGTAGAAATGTATTAGCACAGTAAAAACAATTAAAAAAAAAGTAGTTGAGAAGTGCCTGTGCTTTTTCATCAGAAGGATCATTATAGAGATTTCTTTATAAATTGCAGGTCTTAACAGTAGCATAAATGTGTCATCACCTCTTTTTTTCTTTTTCTAGATGGATGGTTTCCAAAGACATTTTGACTCTCAAATCATTAGTTATGGGAAGCAAATGATTGTTAACTTGGTACGATTTCATATGTTTTTGTTGAGAAAGCTCAAGCATCAATCAAGCATGCTCGCAAGTAATACTATCCATTCTTTTCCCTCACAGGTGAACCAGAAGGGTTCAGAGAAGCCTCTTGAGCAAACATTTGCAAAAATGGTGAACAGCATGGCAAATGGCATGGTCAGGTGTGTGAAAGGAAATGCTGCCTTCCTGTGTGAAAAGGAGCCTGTGCCTGACACCCACAGAAACTGCTTGCAGTGGATTAGGGCCTTGAACGAATACATGATTTGTTTCAGAACTTTATTTTTTGTGAAGTAACCTGCATATGACCAATGCTCCTACCTCAGTGTTTCTATGCTGAATGGAAGTACGCCTGTGAAAACAATATGGGGTGAAGAAGAGATGGGCAGAATTAAGAAGGGATGTCCAGGGTCTTGGTGGTGCTGTGTAGCAATAATAGTATGCTGTGAAAGATGTGATTCTCTCTATTTTGGGATGATAAATTGGGCCCAATTGGGTTACCTTCTGGTAGAAGGTATGGTTTCATTGCTGGCTTTAGTGAGGGAGTGCTAAGTGTGGGTGAAATGTATTAGAGAGGAGGGAAGTGTGCACCTTAAATGTGGGCACATCAGAATAACTGGGCCAAGAGAGAATATGCTTAAGATGGAATACACTTAAGAGAAATTCCATCTTTTCATGGGAATCTTGAGTGTGGTACACAGTTTACAACCAGCTTGCTTTGCCTGACTTTCATGGGGAGACTTAAACTCCCACAGATCTATAGCTCTTTGTCTTTTCCTCGAGTTTGTTGTGTGGTACTATTACACTGATCTCATGTCTGAGGAGAAAATCCTACTTTTAAGCATGTGGGATGTGTGGCTGGTTGTTTAACTATATGATCCTTTTATAAGGAGAGTTCTTTTACCACCCTCATCTCTAGGCTGATATTGAGATCTTAAAGATGTGTAGAGCCTGTAGGTTTATGTGCATCTCTGACGCTGCTATAAAGCCTTCTAGTGGAAACGGATGCTAAAATTCTGCTAGGCTCTGGAGTTTTTATAAATAGTGTTTGCTGCTCTGTATATGTTAAAATGGGACTGACATGTTTGTTAATGCTGCCAAAGTCATTTTTTGAGGAAGGAGGGGAATGATGGGAAGGGTGGGGGTGTGTGGGGATGTGTGGGTGTCCATTTTGATGGCATTTTCCTCCTGGGCCAAATAACTTAATTGAGTCTTCAATATATATATTACTACCTTTCCTTAAATAGTCTTGAAAGCTTGGCCAATAATAACTTTGGGGTTATTAATACTTCAGGAACTTCACTTGCTGTGAATTGCTGAGCATACAAAAGCTGAGTTGGACACCATTTGTCAGAGCCATTTTGACCAGAAATGCACTGGCTGTTAAAATCTTGTTCCCTGTCAGTAGCTGTTGGGTTTTCTTATAGCGCAGTAGCTCAGGCATTCAAGCAGAGCTTGTCTCTAGTTTCTATAGAACAGTCAAATGGGGCTATGCTGCCTGCCAGAGAAGAATATTGCATGTTAACACCTGCATATCTTTTGAAAGAGAACTGACAAGCCCAAGATGCAGCCCCTCGGAGGGGAGCATGGAAGAATGCTGGTTTAAAAAGAAAAAAAGCAGAGATTAAACTGGACGTGTTGCGGGGGGGACTTTGTTTTTGTCACCCCCCTCATTGCTCTTCCCTGGGGGCTTGCTCTGTGTGTGGTTTTCCTTTGTTTGCTTTGGGGTGTGTGTGGTGTTGTTGTTGTTGTCGTGTGTGTGCGTTTTTTTTTTTTTTTTTTAACCTTCATTGAAATATGTCTATAACTTAAAAATGCTTTTCTCAATAGGTATGTAGCATTTGACTTCCATAAAGAGTGCAGTCGAATGAGGTGGGATCGACTTCAAATTTTGATGGATCAATTGGCAGAACAGCAAGATGAATTTAGGTAAGGTGGTTGATGTTCAATAGGTTTCAAGTAGTTCTGAACTACTGAAGTGAGACCACTTGATTGACCCTGTATTTAACTTGAGAACTAACCTTGTATTTTGGTAAAAGTTTAGGTGAAAGTTTCAGATGTATGCACACTTTCTTCATCAGCTTCAGGTCTTTTTAGGGGGCAGTTTTTCATTTGAGAGTAATTCTGTATGTTGGTGACAGTAAACTGTTCTGCAGTGTGGTGCCAAGCACTTGGGTTTCGTTTGTAGTGTCAAACCTTAGAATCATACAATGCTTAAGGTTGGAAGGGACCTCTAGAGATCATCTAGTCCAAACCCCCTGCACACGCAGGGTCACCTAGAGCACATGGCGCAGGACTGCGTCCAGGCGGGTTTTGATCCCCAGAGAAGGAGACTCCACAGCCTCTCTGGGCAGCCTGTTCCAGTGCTCTGTCACCCTCACTGTTAAGAAATTTTTCCTTAAGTTCCTGTGGAACTTTTGGTGCTTCAGTTTGTGGCCATTACC